ATTGTAATACAGTGATAATGGAAGCAGTGATAATGGAAGCAGTGGACACTTCCCTGAGATATTGTAAAATCAAAAGTGCCTTTTATTAGCCTCAACTTAAATAATATGGAGGAATGATGATCAAGGGAAGAAGATAATTTGGAAGCACACAGAGAGATGGTTAAGGAGGTTGGGCAATTTTTCTTTTACATTACATCTCCAAAACTTAGTACAGAATAAGTACTCAATTGCATAACCAATTCATCCTATCATCTGCTAGGATGAATACCCAGGAGAAGTCCCAGGATTATGAGGAGCCCATTGCTTTTCACCATTATATTAAAACTGAATTGACTTAAGAAACTGGCTATTCAATGTCTGTCTCCTAGAGGGCAGGGATTATACATCTCCTGATCACATCTATATCCCCAGTTCTGAACACAATGCCTGTTGCAGTCTGAGATCAATAAATACACGTCATATGGATGAATGAATGGGCTGGGGAACAATTGCAAACATCCATTTAATGTCCTATTCGGGTTGCTCAGGCTGAGGAGGACCGCACCGGACTCAGACTTTGTGAATACCTACTCTGGATGCAACTCCATCTCATTTAACCTTTCTAAAAACTGGGCAAGGAGGTGTCACAAGCACATTTTATAATAACAGAGATTGATGTTCTCAAAGGCTGAATGGCTCACCCATGTCCTGCAGGCTGTAAAAATTGGAGCTAGAAATAGGAGTCAGGATCAAATCTGGGTCTCCAGAGTTCAAATCATTGATGTTTCCATTCCTCCTGGATGCTTCTGAGACACAAGGAGAAAAGGAATAACTGCTATCAGCTGTTAACATGAATTCCTTTAGTCTGTTCAAAAACGTTTTCTTCTTATCTGATAGAGATTCACATGTAGTTGTAAGAAATAATACAGAGAGGTTCTCTGTGAACTTTATCCAGTTTTTTCCATTGTAACATTTTGAAAAATTATAACGTAATATCACAAGCAGGATACTGACATTGAGCAATTACATTCAGATTAATTGGTTTTACTTGTTCTCACCAGTGATATGTCAGGTGATCTCAAACATGTATCACATGTTCTCTCTCCATGGGGAAACTTAAAGAAAAAAAAGAGATGCTTGAAAGTAAAATAGGGATTACTAGGGATTAGGAAGGGTGTGGGGGTGCTGGTGGAGGGAAAAGGGAGACACAGAAAGGGAAAGAAGTTTAGTTGCAGCGTGAATGGATATGATCAATGCAAAATGTATGCATGCATGGAAATATCACAGTGAGTCACATTAATTCATACAATTAATATGCTAATAGTTATTATAATTTTACAAGAAAGCAAAAATAAAATCTGTGCAAGACACATGCTGTATTATACAGTATAATGCTAGTACCAAGTGGTACTAACGCTTATTCATTCAGAATAATTCCCTGGAGAGTCATACAATTGTTGCACATTTCAATATTTTATTCCTTTTTGTTGCTGAATAGTATTACATATAATGTAGGTACCAATTTGTTAAACATTCACATGTTGAATAACCTCTAGACTGATTCCAGTTTTTAGTTTTGGCTCTCCCAAATAAAGCTGCTACAAACTTTCATTTGCTGGTTTTTAGATGACCTATAGTTTTATTTATTCTCATTTTTCTTCAGTAAACTCAAGGGTGCAATTACTTGGTCATAGGGTAATTACATACTTTGCACTGTAAAAAATCACCAAAATGTTTTCCTGAGTGGCAATGCTATTTTCCATTCTCACCAGAGATGTATCAGTGCTCCAGTTTCTCAGCAATCTCACCAGCATTTGGTGTTGTCACTGTTTTTTATTTTAGCTCCTCCATTGGTATAGAGTGATCCCCATTGTGGTTTTAATTTCCATTTGTCTGATGACTAATTATATTGAATATCTTTTGATGTGTTTGTCATTTGTGTACCTTATTTGATAAAAATGTTTTTTTCATATCTTTGGCTAATTTTCTAATTGACTTATTTGTGTTTTTACTTATCAATTTTGAAAGCTCTTACTATGTTCTAGATACTAGAACATTGTTGAATATGTGGTTCATTGTTGAATATGGGGGTTTTGAATGTTCTCTCCCAGTCTTTAGCTAGTTATTTCATCTCCCCATCTTGTCCTCAGGAGCTTTCATTGAAAAAAAATATTAAAATTTTAAGGAGATCCATCCAATTTATCAATTATTCCAATTATTCCTTCTTTGTATCACACTTTTTTTTTGCACCAGGGATTGAATCCAGGTGCAGTTACCACTAGCCAGGGGCAGTTAGCTAAATTCCCAGTCCTTTTTAATATATTTTTATTTAGAAACAGTTGAGTTGCTTAGGGCCTCTGCTAAGTTGCTGAGGCTGGTGTTGAACTCATGATCTTCCTACCTCAGCCTCCCAAGCCACTAGGATCCACAGGCATGAGCCACTGTGCCCAGCCGTATCACACATTTGATGCCAAGTCTACTGAAATCACAGTCATGGTTACTGCAATTTTGTAGTAAACTTAAATATTGTGTAGAGTGATTGCATATAGATCAATTTGTAGGGAATTGTCACGTTCACCACACCATTTTCACAATGTGACTATATTAATGTATATCTTAATATATTTTTATAATATAATATCTGTATTTATTGACATATCATGTCTTCTTTGATTTGTATCATTAATATTTTATGATTTTCAGCATTTAGATTCTTTGTTTTGTTAAGGGGACATGTAGAAGGATTTAGTTTTCTTTAGAGAAATTATAAATTATAATTATTAATTTCTGTTTCCACATATTCATTGTCAGTATACATAAATGTGACTGATTTTTTTTGTGCAGTTCTTATGAATAACACAAACTTGATGATGTCACTTATTCTAAGTCTTGTTTTATTTCCTTTAAAATTGTTCAGGACTTTCTCCATTTAAAAAAAATACAATTAAGGAGAGGTCTAGATTTTTCTCTCCAATCTTTAAGCTTTTTGTTTTACTGGACTTCATTCTATTCATTTTGTGTTTACTTTGTGCTTTTTTCTCTAGTTTCCACAGGTAGAAAATCAGATTGTATTTGTGGGACTGTTTTTGTTTTTATCATAAGTTTATGTTGTGTCTTGACATGGATTTTTTTGTACATGTCCTGCTTGGGGTCTGTTCAACTTCTTAAAATTCATGATTCAATGTCTTCTGACATATTTGGAAAGTTTTCAGCCCTGTTTCTACAAGTTCTCTTCAGCCCACTTCCTTCTCTCCTTCAGGATGCAAATGGAATGAATGTGGGAATTTTGTTATTCTCCAGCAGACTCCTGACACACCACTTATTTTTCATTTCAGTCTGTTTTCTCTGTGTTGCTCAGATTGGGTAAATTGTTTTGTTTTGTATTTTATGTTTTTTCAAATGGATTTCAAATTCGCTGACAGTGTTCTGTTTGCTGACAGATTGGCTCCTTCCTTCTGGTATCACCCTTGGCTTAGGGGCTCTTGGTAGCCAGAGAGTTTTGTTTTTTAAATATCTTATTGCAATTTTCTGCTCAGTAACTATATTTTTAAAAATAACTTCTATATCCTTTCTGAGATTTTTCCATTTTTTTGCTTGTTCAAGAGAATTTGTAATTTCTTGTTGAAATATTTTTTTTGATGCCTTCTTCAAAACACTTGTCAGATAATTCCAACCTCTCAGTCATCTCAAGATTGACATGCGTTGATTGTTTTTTTTTTTTTTTTTCTCATTCAAGTCATGATTTTCCTGGATCTTTGAATGACAGGTAATTTTCAGTTATATCCTGAATATTTTTTCTGTTATGCCGAGGGGCTTAAGCCTTGAATTTTAGCAGACAATCTGTCTAGGTGTAGCACATAGGTGTTTTGTGGACTGTGGTTCCAATGGCATTTGAAGGCTCAGAGACCTTCCAGGGCCATTTGGTCTAGTTGATTTTTCTCCTGTTGATTGTACAGCTACTACTGCTTCCTCTGGGGCATATGAGATTACTCTAGGCCCAGGGACTGATGTTATTTAGAGGGGAAGGGCTTTGGTATGATGCCCTGTCTAGCATCTTTTGTGTCTCTGATACTTCTAGACTTTTGGGGTATAATAGCTGGCTGTATCTGGGGCTGTCTATAGGTTTTACCAGTCTGGCTTGTGTGCCCTGGAAGGAAAAGAGTCTTAAGGTCTTAAGTTCACAAAAAGAGGTGCCTCTGTAAGGGTAAAAGAAATTGAAGTTAAAGCGTAAAAGTTAAAGGGTAAAAGACCGGGTGTTGTAAAAGTTTCTAAGCTGCAAGGTCTGAGTTAAAATGTAATGGATTAGGTATTGTTAGGTTTCTATGCTACCTGCAAAACCTGAAATTTCTGTAGCTGTTAAGACAATGCTTAGAACCGCCCAGTAAACATTTCCCCTGGCTGTTTGGTTATTTAATAACTGAAGGGCTCTGTGTAACTGGTCACGTAGTCCTCTGGGCCCTAAAACCAATCAGTTTGAATGTGTACCCTGTTTAGAAATGACCTATCACTCCAGCCTGACCTGTTCCCGCCAATGAATGAACCAATCATGTTTAGGAGTTGTTGTTCAATTTTCCCGTGCCTCATGATGATTTGTTCTGATGTATACAAAGCCCTCCGCCCTCCCCAAAAAGTGTACTTAAGCAGTGCTCAGCCCCTGCTCGGGGCTCTGGGCTGCTTTCCCTTCTTGAGTGGGCACGGAGCCCCAGCATGCTGGTTCAATAAATCCCCTTCTGCCAATTGCATGAGTGGTCACTTGGTGGTCTCTTTCTCCGACGTTTCGCGGGACCCTTACATTTGGTGCGTTGGCCGGGAAGTGCGCATCGCCGGACAAAGAGGCTCCAACTGACTGCTTTAGGGGGTAAGTAAGTAAGGCGCCTCTTCTCCTTCTTCTTCTCCTTGTTCTTCCTTCGCGATTGCTCAGGTTCGGTTTCTGGCTCTGTGGAGAGCGTGAGCTCTCAGAGCTTTTTGGTCAGGTTTGGTTTTTGGCTCAGTGGAGAGTGTGAGCTCTCAGAGCTTTTTTTGTTCGGGTTCGGTTTCTCGGTTTGGGTTGGCAGAGTGGCTGCCAGCGGAGAGTGTGAACTCCCCCTGGCGGTGGTGGGCAGACGTGCCCTTTAAGCCACAGGCCACGTCCTTGCAAGGGATGCCTTGCAAGGACTCCGGGAGGGGCGGATGGACCCTCATTTGGTGAGAAGGGATTCTGCTGCCAACCCGTCAGGTCTTGCCGGCTACTTTTCTTCTCAGGTTGAGTTCACTGCCCGTCTTTAATCTTTGCTTCTAAACTTGTGTTAAACCTTTACTGTGTGTCCGTGTTTGTGTCACGTTTGTATTGTCCCTGTCTCTGCCTGAGTAACTCCCAGTATGGGACAAAGCCATTCCACGCCTCTGTCCCTGAAGCCTTTCTTGGTCCCTGCCTCCACTCCGACCCCTTCCCCCAAGATCCTATCACTCAATCCTTCTGCTCCTCCCCCTTTTCCCTCCATTCTCCCTGAGTCACAAGATTGTAGATCTTGGGGTTGTGAACGAACCGGAGCTGCATGATGATCTTTGTGTGTCTTTTTTGTCTGTGTCTCTGTTAAGTGTGATGGCATTGTTTTACTTTGGACCAATGCAGAGTCCCAAATTCCAAACGGCCTTAGATGTGTGGAAGTAACTTTAGCTAAATTTTAACCTAATGCTTCTGTGAGGGACCAAAAGTCAATAGAACCGCCAGCTTTTCTGTTCTCACCTTTTACACCTCTCTTAGCTGTGTTTTAAAGAACTTTGATAAACTTTACCCCCCTTTGTTGAGCGAGATTAGGGAAGCAGTGTTTTCTTTTCTTCCCATAGTTGGCTTGAGCACGCCCACTGCAGAGGGAAATGCCTGGGGTCTAAAAACTTTGATATCTCGCTTAAACTTTTCTCAAACAACTGCAAGCAGAAGATGAACTTTTTGGGAAGCTGACTACTGAAAAGTTAGGAGATGTGAGAAATGCCTAGTGCCTGGGGTCAGACCAGGCCAGAGGAACTAATCCTGTAAGTAAAAGGTGGAACTTAGGGGCTCCCAGCAGCTGCCAAAGCCATTTTGCTTTGGGGAGTCTCCTCCTTCCTTACCTGCACTTTAGGGATTACCCCACCTCTGTTTGCTTAACTAATGAGACAATAAATACAGTAATGTGTTGATGTTATAGATTGTTTCTTGGGGATGATCTTGGCTAAATGTGTATCTAAAAGATGATTTTTTTTATTGTAACAATTTGGTATCTGAATGGTTTTCTAAAGCATTGCACTATCTTGCAGTTAAAAGTTTGGTTTAAGCAATTGTTTAGTTTGATTTCAGATAGTTCATGCTAGAAAACTTAAATACTTAGGGTAAAAAAATTAGAAAGTTTCAATTTTGAACTGGGTAGCCTGATAAAATTTCACTTGGGCAAGGATAATAAATTATGATATGATATCTGTTCCCCTCAGTGTGTAAGATTCAGGAGAAAAAAAAGAGGGGTGCTAAATTAAAACGTTGGTCTAGCTTATTAAAATGACATTAATTAGCAACAGTCTTGAAAATTTTTAAAGCTTGATTTTGGATATACATGGTAGAACTTAATACTATTTTAGGAACTTCAGAACAAAGGAAGCAGCTTAATGATCCTGAGGGAATTTCCTCTGATGGTGGCCTTTATATTATCAGAAAAAGATCCTATTTTCAGTTTTGTGTGGGCAAGTGTTTCTAATGTAAAGAGATATAAAGATATAAAATTTTGAAAATTACATCTTAAACCTGAAAATTATGACTTACAGCTAAAATGCCTTAGGCATGAGGTTTCTGCTCAGAATTCCAGTTTTCCCAGTTCCTTCCAGACCTCAGCCAGGACTTAAGTTGATATACAAATAGAAGAAGCCTGGGGGCTCAATAGAGGGCAGATTTCAGGCCCAAGGGAAAAAAAAAGAGTTAAAGTGTCTTTTTACCTGAACTCAAACTAGAATTTAGTAAATTAACCAAAAAGTAAATTATATAGTATTTATTAATTACTGGCCAGTCATCTTTTTTTAGGACTCTTGCTTTTTCTTAGATTCTGTATTTTTTTGGAGCTCATGATTTTAATCCCACAGACGGGTTAATGTTTTCTGATCAGTCCTATTTCTGATCAACTGGAGTTTTGAAACGTTGAAATGGAGATTTCACCTGAAAAAGCTACTAGGGTGTTACACTTGTGTTATGTGTTGTATGTCGGTATGTCTGTATGTGTGTATGTCCATATATCCTGCAGTGATATGACAATTGACAGATGAGGAGCGCTCATAAAAAAATTTAAAAATGGATCCAAATATCTTTGATTCACGTGATTCAAATGGTTCAATTTAAATTGGGTAAACAGATAAAAATAAAGAGGTCTTAAATTAAGCTTATAAGTTTTTCTAGGTGTTCAAAAAGACCCTAATAAAATGTTGATGTCTATGAAATAATCTGCCTAAATTCAGAAATTTACAGATATTGTTTTAAAATGTGAACAAAAGGAGGTTAACAGATGGAAAAAAAAACTAAAAAGTTTTAGATATGGATTTAATAGAGGAAAAATGTGTTTCTGGATAAGAGAGTCTATGTGATTAAGTAATTAAGAGGGTTTAAGTAAGTGATAAAGAAGGTCTGTGTAAGTTGGTTATGTGTGTAAGTTTTTGAGCAAGTAATCTTAAAGAAATTAAAAATTATACAACTATGGTTAAACAACAACTATTATTTTTCAGTACTTTTCTTGTGCTCTCTTACTCTGCATAATGTTCTTCCAAAACCAATTGCAGAAAGTTTCTAATTAGACTTTCAACCAGCTTCTGCTTAGGCACTACCGGCCTCTGAAGACCGATGAACCCCCAGCATCTTCAAGAGAACAGTTCACTCAGTGCTGAAGCTCACTACCAGGCACGATGGAATGCAACAGACATCAGACAGTGGGAGACAACAAGTTCGGAGAATCTCATAATCTGCCATCCTGGATTCATGAGTCTTTATGTCCTTCTAAGCTTCCTCATGGCCCTTGGTCTCTTTTCTGTCAGTCCCCCAGCATGGAACTTCTGCCAAAAATTGACCTTTGCTTTAATCTTTATCTTCATTCTGTTTTTATTCGCTCTGATTTTCTTCAGGTGCTGGTAACGCCAACTTGGTGCCTATCTGGAAGAACTTACTAATAAACGGGTTGCCTGCCACTTATCTAAGCCCTACATCTCCCCCTTAGTTCTATATAAGCACACAGCTTTTTGCAAGGTTAATTATGGTGCTGTTAATGTGTTCATATCTTCCAGGTATACAAGTCTGTAAGGTAGAAGCTTCAAAAGAACATTATATCGAGCTGGTGTTCTAAAGTTGTATGGTAATTTTAGGCTTAAAAAAAAACATGTTGGAGATTTATTCATATCATTTGTGTTCTACAACTGGACTTGTTATCAATAAGATATGTATGGTTCCATGTTACTTTCTACTCTGAGATACAATTTATGTATTTTTAAGTTAATGAGAGCCTAATCTGTGTGAAGGTTTTATTGCAAAACACAAAAGTACATTACTACTTTTCTACAAGAGGTTAAAAGCTTTCAGCCTTTAATTCATGTTTTAGGTGTGATATTATGTTGTGTTAGCTAATGTTCATGTAAACTTGAACAACAATTTATGTAAACTTTGTAAAATGATCAGCTTCAGAACTATAATACTTGAGATTTATAAAGAGCCCTGCCTTACTTGAGATAAGGCTCTGTCCCATCTCACTACATGTAAAAGTGACTATGGAAGAAGTAGGCCAGATTTCAGTACAGTTAAAGTTGTGTCCAAAAGTAGATTTTTGTCAAGATTACTAGGATCTCAAATAGGAAATTATGATGTATAACCCTGCCAGAATTCAAGGTAGCTATTATATAAGCTAAATATGTTTTTACCCTAGTTAGTTTTGTTTTGTAGTTTGCTTATAGATGGTTTAAGGATTGCCTGTTAATGTTTTAAAGAGGTATTGCTTTAAGAACACAACCTGGGTCAACATAAGATAAGGAGTTATCATCTACAGGATAGAGAGATAAACATTAAAGCCCAGTGCTCTTAATAGAAGGCTGTTAACTTATTTGCTGGATGTTTAAGATCAAGTTTTTAAAATTAGTTAAATTAAAAGGGCCAAGAAAACCAATATTTGGCTCTTGCCCTCTGAGTCAGTCTGAATCAGGGAATAGGGGACTTCTCCAAAGGGCTCTGCAACTCTAGGCCACATAACTTTCCGATCAGGGAGATTAATGAGACCGGTGGAGGACAGGAGGCCAATCAGTGCATTTGCTATGAAGAGGAGGGTCATCAGAAAAGGGGAGACATCCCTGATGCTTCCGAGGGAAGCCACATGGTCGAGCAAGGCCTGGACCCATCTTAAGGTAAATGGCACTAGCAGAACTGAGAAGCTGCTATGAAGTTCCCCGAGGACTCCCAGGGAAACTCATCTGACTGTTGACAATAGATAAGAACAAAAGTCAGTTTGACTTGCTTCATCTTAAACACTTAGCAAAGATAGTTAAAGCCAAAGCACAGCTGTTCCTGGACATTTTAAATGATAATAATAATTAAATGTGACTTCCAAAAATAAGTAAACTGGAGGCTACAAAAGAGATTCTCAGACAGGAATGCCTGATAACTATTAAAAGGAACTGCCAGAGTAGTTTTTAGTTTAAGGCCCACAGATATTCCTAACCTACACAGGTAGGCTTGGTGTTTGCTAGTATGGTTATCCAGCCTTAAGTAGCAGAATTAAAGGTTTCTCTATTAGACACAGGTCATACTAGTAAAAGGATTTTTATGACATTAAATTATTAGACTATATCTTAAAGGAAAAGGACATCTGTAAACCTAAATGTTAGTTGTTGTGTTTACATCCCCGACATTTCTGGCAAGGTGACAAAGGTCCTTAAAGATTTACATGCTGAGATAGAAGCCATGTCCTCAGCAACTTTGTTGTGGAAACAATATCTTAGCTCCTGGTTCTTGGTACTTCCTGGTGAAAAACATTGTTAGTCTCTGTCTTGGCCATTATACTCATTGGCATATTCCTGTGCTGTGACATTTATTGCTGCATCAATATGGTTCCAGTAAACTAATGAATTCTTGTTTCTCTTATAGACCACCTATCCCTCGAATGGCCCTCCAGCCTAATACTTCTCAATTGGACTTTTATCATGGACCACTCGATAGACCCGATTATTAAAGGGGGACTCCAAACTGCTTGCCCCACACTGTCCCTTTTCAGCCTGAAGAAGCCGGAAAGATCCTATTCGCCCCCCTTCCTTACAGCAGTAAGGAGTTCCCAAATTAGAGGAGGGAATAAAGCCAGATTTTAAGTTAGGTAGTCAGTGTAGTTAGATAAATCGGGGTCTAATACCGAGTGAAATCTAAAATGGAGGCCATGCTGAAAATGATTCCAGGGAACACAAAACAACTCACGAAAAGTGAAACCCTTCAATAATTGTGATGCATTACTTTTAAGATTAAAAGTAGTCAGAAAAAGGAGTGGGGAATGTAAGGGTAAAAGAAATTGAAGTTAAAGCATAAAAGTTAAAGGGTAAAAGACCGGGTGTTGTAAAAGTTTCTAAGCTGCAAGGTCTGAGTTAAAATGTAAAGGAGGTATTGTTAGGTTTCTATGCTACCTGCAAAACCTGAAATTTCTGTAGCTGTTAAGACAATGCTTAGAACCGCCCAGTAAACATTTCCCCTGGCTGTTTGGTTATTTAATAACTGAAGGGCTCTGTGTAACTGGTCACGTAGTCCTCTGGGCCCTAAAACCAATCAGTTTGAATGTGTACCCTGTTTAGAAATGACCTATCACTCCAGCCTGACCTGTTCCCGCCAATGAATGAACCAATCATGTTTAGGAGTTGTTGTTCAATTTTCCCGTGCCTCATGATGATTTGTTCTGATGTATACAAAGCCCTCCGCCCTCCCCAAAAAGTGTACTTAAGCAGTGCTCAGCCCCTGCTCGGGGCTCTGGGCTGCTTTCCCTTCTTGAGTGGGCACGGAGCCCCAGCATGCTGGTTCAATAAATCCCCTTCTGCCAATTGCATGAGTGGTCACTTGGTGGTCTCTTTCTCCGACGTTTCGCGGGACCCTTACACCTCTGCCAGACATCTCTTGCCACCTCTGCTTGTCTCCTCTGCTGTCTGTGGAGAGCAGAGATGGGAGAGTCTCTGGTTCTTGGAACCAAAGATGCTCTCTTGCAATACTTTTGCTGTGACTGACTCCCTCCTTCTGATACCATCCCTGGCTTAGGGGCTCTTGGTAAAGTGGGAGTTGAAGATGGGGAGGGAGAGCTCTCTTGGCTGTTCACATCAGGGGTGTCCAGCTGATGGATCTTCCATTCTGCTGGTGTAGAAGGATCCGGAATCACTGCAGCAACTCCTCTTAGATCTGCAAAAAGAATATTAGCCACAGTGAGTGGCACCTGTTCTGCTGCAGTCTGGCTGGGCACAAAATAACCGAGCCACCACACCACCTTGTAGATTCAAACAGCAACTCTTTATTCCTGACTCTCACCGGCACTCTACACGCACATTCTGGGGAAAATGCACCCTCCACTGGGCTCTGTGTACCAAATCCTCTCAGAACCCTGTGAGAACTCCAAGGGAACTCCAGGAGCGGGCGCCTGAGGCAGCAGGATACGCCCTATTCCCAGCAGGATCCACCCTAAACCCGGATCCACCCTAATCCCTGAGCAGGGTCACCTTTCAACCAGAACTCTCAAACATTCATGCAATGTCACTGCAAATGACCTGGGTCCAAGGCAATCCCATTTCCACAATGGAGAGTCCTCCCTCTAAGCAACATTGGGTAGGCTGACAAGGAAATTGCCATGCGTCATTCCTACTTGGCTATGGCTCTCAGCACTGTTCCTTGACTGGGGGCCTAGAAATATGAAATTTTTACCATCTTCAGCTAGGCAGGGCATTGGGTCCCCTACTGTGGTGGCTGTGCTGGCCTCTGTTCTGGGGTCCAATTTTCTTTTCTCTTCCACCTCTCAGAGTTATCCTTGGTTGTCTCCTGTATGCTTTCCAGGGTTTACAGTTGCCCTTCCCTAATAAGGAGGAGCATCAATAAAGAGTCTGTCTTGTCCTAGTCAGAAGTTCAAAGGTTTTAAAAGTATACTTCCTACAATCAGAAAAAATCATTATTTTGAAAGTTTTATTTATGCATAATTGATATGTTCAAAAATAGCACATATTTAACATGTACATTTTGCTGGGTCTGGACATATGCAAACAATTTGACACCATCACCACAATCAAAATACTGAATACATCCATCATTTCTTGTCTTCTAATATTGATTGTGTGCGTTGGGGGCAGGGAGCAGCAAGAACGCTTACGATTGATCTTCTTAATATTTTAAAGTGCACAATAACATGCTGTTAATTATAGGCACGGTGTGAAATCATTCTTGAAAAAAATCAGAAGGAATGTGGGAGAGAGATGAATGGATCCCTGTAGAGAACAAATAGCTCAAAATGCTTTTCATTGCATGATTCTCTCTATGATGCTTCTGCTCACCTTGTCTTAAAATTGGCTGTTTCCCATAGGTACCATATCCCTAAAAATAAACTCTGCATTTTGACCCTCTAGAGGGCTGTAAGGAAGCCTAACCTTGGGTGTAGTAAGACTGTGGAATAGGATTGTGCCTTCTCTACTGAGTCTGGGACATCATTTGGCTGAGGCCACGTAACTAGTGTGTGGGAGATGATTTGAACCCAAGGCAAAAGGTGACATCACACTGCAGCTTTCACTGAGGCAAAGGAAAATGTATCCTGCACTGCAAATAATGGATCTCTCATTTACCTGATTTACAGTTTTGAATTTTTCTAGATGAGATATTGTAGAAGTATGCCCATCTCTAATAAAGCATATTTATAGTACAGTTTCTTGGGAACCTGTGTATCTTTGGGGAAGGATTCATTTGGGGATTTCTCTGCTGATCATCCTCCGTGGTTGACTCTGTGCTGCTAACCTCAGAGTCCCTTCTGGACAGGTTCAGAGAACAAGAGCACAAGTAGAAAACAGAAAGCAAAACGTTGTGCCATAAAAATGGGAAGCAGCAGAAGAAATTTGATTTCTCAACATGAGTTCCTCCCCTGGCTCCTACACAGACATTTGAATCGGATTTAAAAATCAAGAATTCACAACTCGAAAGTCACCAAGGAAGATATATCTGGCTGAGGTAACTTCTGGACTTTGAGTCTGAGCACACATCCAAACCACAGCAAAGCAGATGACCGTCACCTCGTCCCCCTTCGTACATGCTCAGCTCACCATCAAACCCACACTGTCCTCTTGTTCACCAAACAAAACAACTTCGAGTCTCATATGGAGTTAAGCACATCATTGTTTAACCACCTTTTAGGTTAGGCTAGATAAATATTCTCTTGTCCTCTGCTTTTGGTAGAGGTCGATTTTATAAGAGATTAGCGTGAAGGAAGAAATCCAATGTTAACTAAACGTCTGTTGGCAACACTTTACAGACAACGGTTAACCGGCTCCTCAGCACTGTATGAAGCAAGAATGATCATACTCACTTCAGAGAGAGGTAGACACCTGAAGGGTAAGCGAGAGATGGATATGGGGCAGGACTCCTTGCAGGTGCCTCCAGTATTGGAACAAGCTCACTCTGAAGTGCTGTGGCTACCATAGTCCTGGGCTCCTGCACAGGGGCCTCCCACCCTCTGAGCCATCTTTCTTAGAAAATCTGACCCTAAGAATCAAGACGTTTCTCTGTATAGAAACTGAATGTATGGATAAACATCTCAGTTGCCTACCATTCTATTAAACTGAAATTATGTAGGCTCAAAAAAAAAAAAGAAATGACTAAGGGAGGGGAGGGTAGAAAGAATAGACAAAGCAACAAAAATCAGACTAGATCTTAGATAAACTAATGTGGGATGAGTCAAAAGGTAGTTTCTGGTCATCCCTTTTCCCTTGCTAAGAACCTGTGTCGTTATTGCAGATAATTGCATCATGGAATCCACCCTGATTGGAGAGAACCCCTGGTACCATGTCCTCCTGCTGAGTCTAGGAGCACTGGCTTCTGCCATTTCTATGTTTCTGGGTTCCTCTGAGCTGGCTTCTCAGGTCCGCATCTTGTCCCCACGCCACATTAGGAGGACTGCCGTGTGCTGAACATGACAGCAGTCAGCTGGCTGTGGAGGCAGGTTATTTATAGAGCAGGAGCAGAGCCGCTAGGAGTGTAAACCCAAAATAAGAATCTCATCAGATTCTTAAAAGTGAAGCAGCTCTTCCAACCTGGGAGTGACAGCATGTTCAGAATTTTCCTTTACGTGTCATGTGGTGTCGGTGTGCGTGCGGTTTGTACATGTCTATTTTATTTTCCTGCTTAAACAGGACAGGATCTGATCACACCAGGGCCCACTGGGAAAGGCAGCTCTCAGTGCTTCAACTTCTCTGTTGTCTTGGAAGAAATGGAATAAGCTACAGTGACCCTGACCCACTCTGTCTTTGTCACCTTTTCTCTTTATTCTTGGTTTTCTCACGAGCTGCTTCCATACAATTCAAGTTGGCAGAAACATTTTGAGCAACTGCTGTTTAGAAAGGTTCCAGGGAAAAATGAGATAAGGTTGGTCTCCTTGTGAGAATCAAAGACAGGCGGAGAGGCAGGAACACTGCCTGGCCACAGTATGCAGCAGGGGACATGAGAGCATTGAGGGCAGAGGCAGCTCACCTGTCTGGAAAGGCTTCCTGGAGGAAGTGGCATGGAAAGTGCACTTGAAGGATGGCTGTGACTTTGAGTCAAAGGCAGAATAAGATGAAAGACATTTTTCTTTGCATTCCATGCAAAAATAATGTCAAATGTGGAGATATAGACATTCAGGGCACATTTAAGTAACAGGGCTATTTCTGGTATGATGTTAAGCTAAGCCTAGGTTTTCATTCATCAATGAGAATCATCTGCAATGTGGCTACAAACACAGTTCAGGCTGCTCTGCAAGACACTGGGTCTAGAGAAGAAGTCAATTATAAATCTGTTTTTCT